TCAATGCGAATTCGGGTGAATGGGGCATCAGAGATTAAGGGCGGTCCGTGAAAATGGATGGTGCACATGCCGGGGATGGTGGGTAGGCTAATAAGAGGGAGCAAAGACGCCCTCGCGTTGCTCGGCAAGGTCTCGGCACGAGGGGAAATGTGCCCCCTCGTGCATCGAGATGGGGTGACGTCGTCGTAGGGGTGGCACGCAGGACAAGGGGGGTGGAGTGGGCGGGTGTGTGTGTATACGTGTGTGTATGTGTGTGTAATTTCCCCGTGGACGGTGGCGTCAGGGCGCGCGGTGCCGATCAGGCCGAGGGTCGTTCAACCATCAGTGTTGTCTCGTGTCTCGTGCAGCGTGTCGTAGTTTCTATTCTCTCGTGATCGTGAACGTGCCGTGCTTGTGATCGTTTAGTTTAAGATATCGTCTTAGGTAGAACGGCTGATCGTCACAGTCGCCCAGTGTCAACTATCGGCGAACGGTCACGCGGCGGAAGTAATCTGCGCAACTGCCACCGGGCAGAGATATTCGACGTGATAAACTGGGTCTCGGAAACTAGATCAACTACGTATACGAAATTAAGAATTAAAGGGGAAGCGCTCGGACAAGTGCGCGCGTGGGAGTTTCGTCCCTCTCGCTCCGCTCGGGTCTGCGATAAAATCACCGCGCGTTTTTGGCTGATATCACCGAATCCCACCCTGATGGAACAGCGAGATACTTTTCCGCCGCATCCGAAGGAATGTATAAAAATGTCTGTGCTGTGAAAGTGCGGTATTGTGATTGGCGTATCTCCGCTCGTGGACGTTAACTTGTTATCGGGATTCTTTCGCGAATATCTGGACCGAAGACAATCCAGACAAAATTTCATTACGAATCCCGCGACGTCTAATACAAGAAATCTTTTCTCTTACTATTATATTACGAGCTCGGTGATATAGATACTGTTAGTCGTCGACTGACCGCGTGGTGTTCGTGCACATGCGCGCATGTGAAATCGTCTATCTGTGAGCTGCGATCAGCTGTAGACAAATGCTTGTGTGTTGCCGCACACGTACACGCGATACACGTACCATATAAAGATCATCCTGCATACCGCTCGATTCCGTAATATCGCGATGTAATGAAGGTACCATCGATAATGGCTTAAGCGAATTCGATCATATCTGCGCTTTTTACTCCGCGTGGACATTCATTGCGTTTCGGGACGACCGAGCCTATCATCGCGTATCTAATGCATACGACTGTATCTTCAACAGTTGTTGACTATCTCGTTGTGCCGCGTTGCAAAATTCATTAATCGTTGCGTGCGCGTTATTGCGTCGGACTTCCTCCCGTTTTCCGCTTCGCTCCCTTTCTCTCTCGTTCCTGTTAAGCATTGCTTCCTTATGCGCTCTCCGCATTAGCCTCCACCCTCTTTACGGTGGTTCCATCTCGTTTCTCGGTCCCTCTCTTTCCCTCTCCCGCCGTCCCCCTCCTCCGTCCCCGCGCCGCGCTCTGTTTTCCGTTCCTACGAAGATTACGCTATCGTGTATTTTTTATCGAGCTCCTGATTAAAACCACCCTACCGACCGCCCGTTAGCTCCTCGCCGCTTCGTGACTGCCGTTTTCGGCGAATAACGCCTCCGTTTCACGACAACCTTCCACTCCCTCGAAGAGACGAGAGTTAACGAGTACCTCCGTGACGGCCAGTTCTCCCTCCTTTCCCTTTCCCGCCCCCTTCACGTGTCAAGTACTCACTGACTCCGTCGCGGTCGTGCTTTATGCGCGTGGCGATAAGTAATCAACGAGCGCCATCGTCGCTCGAGGCCACGTGGTGATCGGTGTCCGCCTTTGAAGGTGAAAAGGAAAAGAGCGGTACGAGTGATCCGAGTGCATCGAGAGGCAAAATTCGCGAAGGGTGAGGTGACGTAGCGAGACTCCGTGAAACCTCATCTCGCTTGAAGAAATGCTGATACCGGTGTCGACGTCGCCCTCGTCCAGCAACGGCGAAGGCGCCATCAAGCTCTTCATCGGACAAATACCACGTCATCTCGAAGAGGATACCCTACGCCCGATGTTCGAGGAGTTCGGCAAGATTTACGAATTCACCGTTCTCAAGGATAAGTACACGGGAATACACAAGGGTGAGGTTTCAGCCTTGAATTATAAATCCCTTGCATAAATAATTTCGGAAACATCGCGTCTGCTTTCCCCACGAGTTTATGAAACGTTCGTTCCGAGGTCGATTTTGATCCCGGCGCGATAAAAAACATTCCAAGAAAAATCTTTCCAAAATCTGAGGCGAAAGCGGGGATTCTAAAGCCGCCGGCGAACTTGATCAGTGTCGATAAGGAGACGGAATTAAAAACGTTAATTATCGACATTTTTAATTCCAAGTTCTACTCGGTTCGAGCAATTTATAGCCAATCAATTTGCAACTTTTGCGAAAAAGTAGCAATTTCATTAGCTACACATTGCTCAGATCGAGATTTTGGATCGAATTCTAGCATCGTCAACGCCATAGTTTTATTGATAATCTGACAGATGTTTGGCTGCGACCTCTCTCGAAAACGCCTGCAGCTATCTCTTTTTCTCTTCTTCTAGACTTGGATTTCTGGACTTGCGTTTATTGGAAGTAATCTTTTTTTCTAGGCTATTCTCAGTTCTAATTGCACGCTATTATTCTTACATGTTGTCGCTAGAGTATGCTGGTCTCATTTTGTATATATTTATTGTGGAATTCTTGTAGCAGGCAAATATTGTCATCAAGTATACCAAAAATTAGTAAAATTTTTAATTTTTTTTTTCGTTTTTGATATAAAGTCGACCAGCATAGTTTGGATTTTATTGCGTACTTAGTTTCGCAAAAGAGTTTTGCATTTCTATAAAGCCAATTAAAAGATTACTTTTAACAAAGAATGTCGATAAAACAGACGGCTTTAGGATTCCCTTAAAATTTCTATCCTGTTTCTTACGTCTAGTCGGAGAGAGAAACTATTGGGGGAACGTCCGCGTTTCAGCGCGAGATGTCATTTAGTGGCGCCACGTCGCTCGCTAACGTTACGAAATTATTTTTACGAAGCACTGCAGTCGCCGGCCACTAAATCCAAGCGGCCGGGCGCTCATTAATTTTTCAGCCGCGCAAGGACACGTAGGACTCGTTGCGCCGAGTGAAGCGTAATTCCGGCGGTAACGATGAAGCGAGCGAGAGAGCGCGCGCGCGCGCGCACGCGCGCGGGCGAGCGGGGGCACCCTCGGCGGCTTTCGAAGCGCGACCGAGAGATTAATCAGGATTTATTCTTTTGTCCCCCGCGACGTGCTGTATGGCGTCCGGGGGCCGCGGTCAGGGTCGCTCGCGGAGAAGAGAGAGAGAAAGGTAGCGAAGGGGTGCGGGAAAGAGGGATACGGAGGGCCGTATAGCAGGGAAGTCGAGGGAGGGATCGTGTGGGTGCGAGAGCGTGCTAAGCCGCGGCGAAACAATAAATTTCGCGGGCATTCACGTCGATCGCCGAGAGAATGAGCCGACGTCGACGATCGACGGCCTTTGTTGGCCGACCGTAAGCCACCACCCCCTCCCCCCTCCCACGGTACAACACCCTGCTGCGCGTCGTTTCCTCCTCGTCTCCCTGTCTCTCTTCCGTCCCCATCCCCCTCCCCCAACGCAGCATCCAGACGTCGACGAGTCTGATACAATGAGACAGCGCTCGCGGACGCGTTTTGGGTTGTTTCCGCGGCGGAAACTTGTCCCGGAAACGGGGACTTTAACACCGACGTGCCCGGTTACCAGTCACAGCCTCTTCTCGAGGACGGGCTATCCAACGCCACCATTCGATCCCCGGTACTCGAATTACGACGGGAGCGTGTTACGCGATACCGTCATCGTATGGTGCTCGACGGCAAAGAGGTGCGGGCGGGACGTGAGCGATACGCGCAAGAGAACGGACGCCAAGAGGAAAGCTTTGCCGCGCCCCCGGGTATCACCCGGGTACGGTTGGGATTTTAGAGGGGTATTTGGAAAAATGAGACAATGCGCCCCGAGACCGGTCGGGGATCGTCTTCATGAATTGTACATCAGTCGGAAAGCCGGGCGCCCGAGCGATCCCGCGCGGAAATTCGGTCCCGGCGGTCGCTTCGTTATTCCAGAGCCGATTTTGTAATGGAGAAGTCATGTTATTCGATACTTATCAATAATGGAGGACGCGCGCGCGATATGGTGGCGAAAATTTCAAACGGTACTTGTCCACACAGCCGTATAAAGCTTCAGCTCGGAATGCGCGCGGCTGCCGCATAAAAATTCGTAGCTAGAGAAATCCGCCCCGGTTCTGGAAATAACGGACCTTCCCTGGGCGCCCACGGACCGCCGACGTAACCCTTCGGCGGCCTCCGTTTATTTAATTTGCAGGAAAAATGGCCGCAATCCGCTTGCCTGACCGTAGCGTCGGTCTGGGGGAAACGTAGGTATTTTACAATAAATATCCGGCCGATAAGCTGCACACAATCCCGGCGCACCATAGGGGGAGGGAGGGAGGCGAGCGCATTTTTATTTTTGTAGGCATGCGGAATTTATGGTTGACGAATGGTCGTTCGAGTTTTTGCCTGGAAATAGCTCGTTAATCTTTCGAATTATCCTCCCTTCCAACTTCGCCGCGCCGCTCGACTCGCGTCCACGACTCAACGACTTCCCGTTGTTCCACGGCGGTGATATCGAGAAAAATTCTGCATTCTAAACGACATATTTTCGGTTATGTCAAATTAGTGATGCAGAATTTTTCTGAACGCAGACTTTACAACAGAAAATCCGAATGTGAAAAATATCATGGTCTGTCTAATCAGACAATCCAATTGTTACGTTGTAACAAACGAATATATCCTATTAAATTGTATATTCGATGAAGAACACGATGGGACATATCCGATTTAGATGGAATATGTGATAAGATGTTCAAGAATGATTGGGTAAAATATAAACTAAATATGGAAGAGCGAAATGAAGAGAAGACAGTAAAATTAATAAATATTGGACGTAGACATTTATTTTTAAATGAGATTTGATTTATTTAAAATGTGTAGTACTAAAGATACAATTAATTGTGGTTGAAATGAAAGAAAATTTAACAACGCTCATTGAGAATTCAAAGAATTGCGCATTGTGATGTACAAACAGAGCTCGATTAATATTGATCTCTTTTGTATTCACTGGAGAAGTTGTCAATTGAAGCTTTGTTGTACCCAGGATGCTGTCACTATCAGAAGTATGCTGTCATTATAGCAAGCTTGCAGGGCTAATATCAACAAGTTTGTTAAAAAGATACTAATAAGTTTTGAATTAAAATTTGAATAGTTTTCCTAGGAATAATTGAGTCAATAGAAACGAATGGATAAAATTGGTTTTGGCAGTCTGATTATTGCAAACTCGTTGCATTTATGTTACATTATTATCACTATTTAAACGTATTGTTGCTTATTCTACAGCAATTATTTTCCATTTTATTATTTCTACATTCACGTCATTAGACGGAGAGAGTGTTAACTAATTGTTAATTAATCGCTGCGAACAAAAATAAATATTTCTAAAAGAGGAAAACATTAGAATAAAAAGTTGTGCTATCAATGACGCTACAAATAATTATTTTCCTCCACGTGAATTCCAATATCGGCCAAAGCCTTTATAATTGTTCTTCGGTTTACATCGTGATCCTCCAAAAATAGTTTATAAAAACCTTGTTGTATCAATTGCCACACGTGTTTGCTTTCAGGAGGATAATCGGTGTGAAAAACATGAAATAATTTAAAACAAAGTTCCACAGCCTCCACAACGTTTTTACATGTATACAAAACCTTGTCCACAATTATGTGACTGTGACTGATATTATCCCACGTGGGACCTACCGCCAAAACATAAGGTTGAACGGATGTAGATATTTTCACTTTTCTTGCTATCTTGATCCACGATTTACGTCGATTTTCAATGTGTTTTTCAACTTCCATTTCACTGCAAACTCTCGCAACAAAAGACTCCACGATATCTATTCTCGTTGGTCTCCACGTCTTGTGCACATAAACGTAAGGAAATACAAACGGAAGTAGCAAGAGTGTTCCAGTCATTCTAAGTGTAATATTTGAATCGTCTGAAAAAGTAAAATTATTATTGTCTTATCACCTAAAAGTTATTTTTCTAACGTAAATATCAAATAAGAAATTGAAAACATTATTTATTTTTGGACTCTATTATTAAAGCTCGTTTGCGATATGTGTCGCGGTAATGTCCACATTTCTTTTACTGTTGATGTAACGAAGTAAATATTCATGAGTATGAAGCTGGCGTATCATTTTGTGGAAACTCATAAAATATTGACAGTTCAGGCTTTATTTTTAATAGTTGTATAGAGTTAAACAAATAGTTCTGGTTATTAAAGTATAAAAAATGTCCGAGGACAAATTGAGGCGTAGCATCTCACTTTGTCCTACGGGAATTTTCTATAAAAAATGTAGAATAATATTATCTCGTTAGAACTCTTTATAAATTGATCACATACATTCAGAAATGTGCGAAAAACATTTTGTAAAAAGTAAAATTCTCGAATATCAACCAATGTCTCACATGTGTCTAGTGGTACACGGACAATCAAAATTAATTAGAAAATAAAAAGTGTTTTATCACCAGAACGTTTTATGAAATTGTTAAATACGTTCAGAATCGCACGAAAAGTATTTTATAGCGAATAGAACTTTCTAATATCGATCAATGTCTCGCGTTCGTTCATATAAGGAAATGTTTCATTTACGTTTTGCCAAGTCAAAGAACGGAGTAGCTATGTCTTTATGCTTTTGTTGGCTTGTTCTTTTTATAACTGCTGAAGCAGTTGCAATAATTGCAAGCCTGCATTTCTCACAATTTGTGACTAAGTTCCCCGAGAATCTTGCTATAGGGTCTGAGTAGGGACAAAGTATTTCGAAATCCTGTTGAATCTGCATATGAAAATTTTGCAAGTTAATTAACATGTTTACATAAATGTTACGTAAATATTACAATTCAGCGTTACAATAAACATTCCGTGTAAACATATTTTTAAATAATATTAATATAATATTTAGAAGTATCTGATAAAATTGTTTTAAATTATTGAGTTTACGGGAAACTTACTAAGGCTTTACCAATCTCTTCAATTTGCAAAAACGTGTATTCGTTCAGGTAATCCCACACTGTTCCTGACTGATCTAAGAGTTGCTTCCGTCTGTACGGAAAAGTAGCTTTCCAGGAGGATGCTAATTCTGGACTAAATTCATGGTGTAATTTGTTCCACAAATAATTAAGATGCGACTGTACTGTCGGATCAGCTTGTACAAGAGACACTAATAGAACAAAATTAGAGGCATAAGTGAAAACGGGACGTAAAGTTTTATTGATACAAAGAAAATTAAGTGTACCTTCTCGTGAAAGTTCAGTGTTACATTGAATTTCGCCTTCTGATTGACTGACAGACCTCCAGGTTTTTGTGGTATGAGACATGTCGTCTGAAGAACACGGATCTCTGTCCTTGGTTGACACTGACGTACATGGCTGCCTCAACAGGACATCTCGGTTTTCCTTGATAAGTTTTCTCCTCTCTTGAAAGAGTTGGACTTGCAACACTCCTTCTGCTCTCTTTCTCTGAAGTATGGTGCCATCTGGACGTCTGTACGGCTCGTATTTAAAGGAATAAAAGGCGGACATTGGTGTCTTTGGAAACAGGCGTTTAAAATATATAGCCCATCTTATGAGAGTACTCGTTGGTACTTTTCGTTGTGGAGGAGTGGCCAAATTGAGAAGATGTTTGACAGTAACTTTTCCTACCAAGTTGAGGTCAGATCCCACTGGTACTAGATTATTACGGTGAATGTTGTGAATAAGTTTTCGCAAATGGGATCCGTTTTTATGTAGGAGGTTAAACAGCGGATTTCTGGCTTCGGGATCCGCTGTATTAAAGTCTGGAATTGGTGATTGACTGTGCCGTTGCTCAGTGCTCTTTTTCCTCGATGTTTGTACGGGGGCAGTTATAACGTCGTCCAAATCTCTCATCTCATCCTCTAACTGTGTAGTTGATTCCGTGAGATCTTCTTCAATGTTCGTGTCAAATTTAACAGCGATATCTTCAACTTTTACTACATGCAGATTTGGAGGATCTTCTAGCTCTATATTTTCTGCTGTAATTTTCTCGTTGCACATAAACTCGTTAAAATGCAGCGGAAGCGCCATTTGGCTCTCTGAAAAATTATTGCTGCTACCGCTGCTGCTGCTGATGTTCGTAGACGAGATATTCGATGAATTTCTTTTAGGGCACTGAACCAATGATGCAACTTCGTATGAGCTGTTCGATGAAGAAGACTGCTTGTCGTTCGTATCAATAATATGTGCGGATTGCATATCGCCATATATCTACAAGAAAAAAAAATGCCAAACTGATTGCCAGCGACATAATTCTCAGTGCAAAAATATGCATGTTGTATTACATGAAACAATATGCTGTATAGTCGTCACACACACACGTGCAGACTCACGCACGCACGTACAGTTTGTATGGACTGTATGTTCATTTACTACAGGGCTATATACGTAAGGAATTTGTTTAATATCACAAAATGAAGAAATATAAATTAAAAAATTTAATCAAGCGTACCATTAGTAGTTCGGGATCTATCGGAAGATTATGTAGTGACATCCATTTTACTAAAGCTCTACCAAACCTCCTCCTTGGGCCATATTTCGTAATTAACTCATCAAGTTCACGCTTTCTTAAAGTTTTCAGATCTTCCACTGAAATATCCTCCTCTAGTGCAGAAAAGAATTAAGTATATAACAATCGTGAAAGATTTTGTTAAAAAATATAAAATATTAAAATATTCAATTATATGATCACGTTACAGATAATACGCGCTTACTGTGTTATACATAAATATTGTACATCTCTCTTGTAACTAAATATTCAGCACGATATGAAATTGTGAAAATAAACGCGAAAGTAATAACAGGAAGATCGATAAACGTGAAATCTAGATTATATGACCGATATGAAAGTAGTCAAAGCAAAAATAAAAATAAGTAATATTTTAATTTTTATAAACGAGAGATTATGTACGAGAATAAAAGCAGCTGATACATGTAATATACGTTACGTTATGTATTAAAGAAGTCTTACAATCAGTATCTTTTTCACTGGCCTTATATACACGTGATGCTTGACAGATATTAATAACTATAAACCAAGAGATGCACATCATTATCTTTTTATTTCGTATTTCAACATATCATTGTGATGCAATCATTGTATTTCTTAACCCAACCACGTCAGACTAATTGCTACTGTTATGCGAACATAAAGCATATGGCCTTTTCACTTGTGTATACATAAAAATTGTGAGTTTTCAAAGAATAATAACACACAACAAGACTTATGTAATATAAACACACGTCATATATAAACAATTTGCACTAGTCTTACAACGTACATTACGTGTGTTTAGATTACGTTATTAGAACTAACACACGCGAATTCAGCTTAGTGCTGTTAGATCGTGGGACGTAAAAGCTTCCACCATTGCACACGGAATGCCACCTACTGCATGCATAGCATATGGACCTGAGCAGAATGGCTATCTTGTTCTCTTAACCTTTTCGGTCACAGTGGTACGTATAGGTACCACCCTTACGATATCGTTTTTTTTTTCGCTACAACTTCTACCATTTAAAAATTTTCTTGAACGTGTTTTTATTTCACAGCTTCCTAAGGGTTGGAATTTGATAATGGAACTGTTATTTTATCGATATTGTACATTTTATTTTATTATAAACAAATTGAAACTCGAGGCAATGCATTTTTTCACATTAAATTTATTTGTGAAGAAATTTGATCGTAAACATACACCAAAAGCTCTTATTTTCTATGCTTTTGGGGTCGCTGATTTCGAATTTGAAGTCAAGAGTCGCCCATCATTCTAGAAATAATATAAGTTGAATTCGCGTAATGTCAGGCTGATTCATTAGTCATATAATCTGAACACAGGTCATATACAAGAATATTTTTATGTACGAAATATGAACTTGTACTTACTTATAAGTAAATCAATGACTTCCTCTTCAACGCCAATTTCTTCTAAGGTACGGCGTATGTCGCACATTGTCACAATTCCCGTTTTTCCGGTAACTAAAAGAAATCGTCGCGACAACAATCGTACCCCGGCTCGAACTTGATCGAACTGGCATCACGGCACTGTGACGATGGTGAGGAATGGCGTAATAATCGCGCATGCTCAATTGGAATATTCGGATATATTCGTTCCTCTTCGGCAATATTCGTTGTACGTATATACAATTTCAGCGGTTATCATCTTTCATCGGATAATACCTGATCGGATACCTATATCCTCTTTTCTCTTCGATTAAATTGCACATCCATTCTTATCGTTACTTTTCCGATCAAGTCGTGTTGTTTTTTTTATTCCATGAAAATTACAACGGACATACAAAGAGCGACTAATTTCTCGATCAATTTTCGCCAGAAACATTTCATTAGATAAAAGATATCCACCGTTTGATCGGAGAAAATACAATTAACTCTTGGAAATACTATTTAATCGGTTTATCCAACGGAAATTTTCTCAGTGATTAATCTTGAAATTATAATACTTGAAAATTTTATATTTACAGTTTAAAATAATTTGTAGTCGGACATTGAACGGAGCAACAACTTCGCCAAACTGTCAGCTTTAAATTAATTTCACTTCACGTTGCGCTTCAAAAGTAAGCGCTTCAATAATACCATTTAAATTGCAAACCGTATATATCCTTTAGGAATTTAAATACTTTTCGATGGCCACGAGAAAGTTTTGTGCCGAAACATATCGCCGAACTAGCGTATATCGATCTGGCTCACATTCGGTGGAACAAACGGTAGACGGAGGAGGGAGGGGAGGGGGGGTATGATTTTATCAACGTCGAATCAAATGCATTCGCTCGCATTGACGCACGTCCACTAAATCAAATAATCCGTGTCTACATATATCATGGGCGCCGGACTTAAATCCGCACGGATACGAATCAACTGCACTGCAGTCTCAGTAATTTTGGAAATATGTCGCTGAAACATTGCGATGTCATTGAGATATTCGGCATTAAAAAATAAAACGACCGCGCGGTCGTTCGTGAGAACGTGAGATTAACTGCCAAGATAATCGTACACGCATAGGAATTGTAAACAAGTTAATTTACTCTCTCCTCGTAATTAGAAAGTTCTCGTGTTATAAGAATATCTCAATTAAAAGCAAATAAGAATATAAATAATTTAATACGACGTCTGTTAAAACTTGAAACTCTGTATTCAGAACTGTAAAAATTAAACGATAAGACTGATTCGATTTCCGATGTATCGTATCTATCTGTGACACTCGTAATAAATGCACTTGGCAAGGTATACGCAATCGTAGAAATCATGGAACGTCGTTGCATGACGCGTTACATAGATTTTCTTTAACAACCGTCTGCGAGCGGCGCGGAAAAGTTTCTTTTTGTTTCAACCTTTCACGGGACCGCCACGGCACGAAGGTAGGAGGACGCGAAGGGACGAGAGGTCGGGCCGAGTTAGGGAAAGGTAATGCTCGACGGTGACGAGGCTGCAACCGACACGGCAGTCTCGCAGTTTCGAAACAGCTCTCCAATTTTAATGAGACCCGTCTATTTCCCCGCGATTCTGTCTCCGTGTTACGGCTTACCTTTGTGTAATTATATTTTGATTCCCCCAAGCTGCGTCTCCTCCCGGCTCGCCTCATTCTCTTTTCGCCTCTTACCGCGTCCGCGCCTCGCGCAGCTGCGGATTTCCAGCTCTGCCTCTTCGTTATTGTTATCAATTTATACGTTTCCCCGCCCAGCGTTGCTTTTCCCTCGCTCGCGCCAAACGTACGCGAGCGCATTCGTAAGCAAGCGTTGCGTTCATTTCGTAACGGTGCCAGGCCATTGTTCACTCCGTCTGGAGACATAGTGACCTACCCTCGGTCTAGTTACCCTCCTTCACCTCGCTCTCTTCGTGGCACGTTTGTCCCCAGATTGAATTACGACCGGGGGCAAATAAAAGGGGGAAAAAAGGGAAGAAAGAAAGAAAGAAATACCGCTCTCCACCTTCGTCGACGAGAATCCGTTTTGCATCTTCTTTATTCCGGTGGCCGCTCCATTGGCCGCCACTTCGGCATCCGTACTTAATTACTGGGTAGTTACGATACTTCGGTGACCTCCCGTCGTCGGTATTCGAGAGGCGTTCCCGGCCGTTTCTGTTCTCCCTTGTCCCGCTGCCAGCGTTGCTGTACGTACTAATGAGCGCGCTGAATTTGTAGCTTCGAAGGCGAGTAAGGAAATAATTCAGTTGTTTCGCCACAATCACGGATATTCGCGCAATTCGCGTTACGACTCGCTCGCGATTTATTAATTGAATTGCGCGCCTCGTCGTGAAAGATCACGGCCGGCCTCCGTAAAGTCGCGCGAGTCTCTTTCTCAAGAGCTGCTCAAGAGGCAACTTTTAAAGAGAAGAATGCTGATTCTCTCGATCGGTCAGCGATGAGGATCCCGGTATTACCGTCAATTCGATGAGGTGCGCAACAAAGCGAGCGCATTTTCTTTCAATCGCGAGCACTTGCTCGCCCACAAGGGAGGATTTAAAGAGGATGCGCTCGAGAGAGGGAGGGAGAGAGAGAGAGAGAGAGAGGGGGGGGGGAGATTCACCGGTACATAGTATATCGATTCGAGTGATAACTACGAGTTTAACTCTCGCGAATGGTTTGCTCGTTTCAACGTATTTAACAGCAGAGCGTACCAGAGGGCTCAGCTGCCGGGGTGGTTGGCACATGGGGACCATGGCACACGCCATTACAATGGCAACCAGCCCCACTACCGACCTTTCCGCAATCTCCCTTCTCTCTCCCCCCCCTCTCTCTTCTCATTCTCTCTTAGTCTCTCCCTTTTTCTCTGCATCTCTGTCTCTCTCTCTTTCTCTCTCTCTCTCTCTCTCCCCCTCGTTCTCTCGGCGCGAGGTGCACGAGGGCTGTCCGTTCGTCTGTCGGTCTCCCCCGTCGCGTGCACGGACGTATGTTATCCTACTTTTTTGCCGCAGGCTCTCTACATCCGTCTCTCTTTCCATCCCGTCCGTCCGACCGATCGATCGAGAGTGCATACATCGCACTCCCACTCATTGGGAATCGGTGGGATCATACGACAATGTTAGCGTTCATGATGAAACGTTGTACCCGCTTGTCACGTGAAAATCTGTCGGCGATATTCTTTGCATGATCGAGCGATTCTTATCGTCCCGTGGAAACTAATGCACGGTGTAGCGTGTAATACTACGTAAATATTAAGGGGAGCAAAACGATTTTATTATGGCCTAAGCTAATTGTAAGATTCAAACGAAATTCAACATAATACGAGATACACAACGAAAGCACATTTCGCATGGCACTCTCGTTCATTATGTTGTTATAAAAACATTTATTTTGCATCAACTGTTGTGTTACCGGAGAGAAAAATCTAACGCCTACGTTCTTTCATTATCGCATGGTTTCGCTTCTTTTTTTTATCACGGCGTCTCTTCGCTTCTGCTATCGTATCGATGGTCTCCTATCCTGTTCGAGCACATGAGGAATGCGAAATCCATTGGGAATAGAGTAATTCACCAATTTGGAGTCAGGTTTCAACAACTGTTTGTAGCGTTTAACAACGAAAAGTCTTGATACGAGCATGTTCCTCTAAACTTCCTTTTAACAACGAAAGAAAAAAATTAGGGTTTTGTGCATTGGCGCCTGAGTTGTCTATCAATTTGTGAACACACGTTTTTGACTTTGTATTGATACATTCTACCAATTCAGAACCGTCACATATGTGTATTAAGATATTTTACTTTCTTGACTCTTGCACTAAACTTATTTATTAATTAACTTATTTATCTAATTTATTAAACTACTTTTATCTACGGTTTGACTTTTTTTACTCTTACGCTTAACTTATTAATTAATTTATTTCTCTGAATTTATTTCTATCTATATATTTATTTATCTATCTTTACACGTAATAATTTCAGATATGAAATTATTTGCTGCTACAGACTCATGAACTTATTCTGTTTCGGCATAAATTAATTTGTTCAGTCAACATTAGGTATATTTCTCCTTTGTAATACATACTTATGTACATACTAAAAGTTCCTTTCTCAGTAATGCAGTTTGTACATTTGAAATTTGTTTCTAGATTGCACTTGAAAAGGACCCGATAAAGAGGTTGAAACGTAATTGTGACTAAAATAAAGATCATTATTTTTGTCAGTTTGGTCGGTTTTTTCCCCCTCGGTTAATAACCAATGGCGACCAAAAGCTACTCAAATATGCATTAAGACTTATTAGTTCAACTCAGTATTGAAAATTTGATTTTGTTTGTGTGAGACAGTACAATATTTTTGAACAATTGGTATTGTACCAATATGGAATCAAAATTACATTGCCACACCGTAAAAGATCACGAATTATTAATGGCTATTCAAGAAAAAAATATAAAAAACAGTGAAGTTGATTGTCCTTTTATTGTTATTTTTTAGAATAAAACAGACCCTTTAGGTAAAATGAGTAACTAGACATTCAAGCTACAAAGAGCATATCTATGTCCTTGATGCTTCTGAAGTTATCAGTATCTTTCACAGTACTAGTAGTATTTTTCAGTATTGCAAGACACGTTTGCATATCGGGGAAAAGTGAGAAAATACTAATGAATGTTGACTATTCATTTGAAACTTGATTTCAAGCTCCTTCGTTGTTGATGTCAACCGGAGCCTTGTGGGAATAATTTGGGACAAAAGGAGGGGTATCGCCACACACATAATACTATTTTTCAACAAACTTGAGCTTAAAACGTAGTTGTAGGAGAAGCGAACCCAAACTGGTACAGAGAACCCTGGGTAATTTGGTGAATTACTCTATAATGTGCGAATAGGTTGTTTCGGCATAAACATCGGGCGGGAGAGGCGAGAGAAAGAAAAGAGAGGAAGCCGAGTGCGCGAGATGGTGGAACAGGCTATGGGCGAACACTCGCGTAAGAAGGATTTGCACGATAGAAGGGGAAAGACGCTGGGGAAATAAGGTAATACCTGCGGCTTTGTCTCGATCGGGGGTAAGGAGAGTCCGCTGTAAAGGAAAATACGGAGGATAAGTAGCGCTGCCTTTCCCTTC